GTGTTCCCAATCTCCCGAAACTGGCGAACGAATTCTGGGATAATCGTTGAAAGAGCACCGAATTCATTTCCACGTTTAACGTCTATCTTCTCTGTTCCCCCGATTGAGATCCGATGGTTCAATTGTAATTCCGTCGAGGTTCGAGAACGTTCATCCTCGCATTCACCGTTTCTTTCGCTCCGTCTCTGTTAACGAACGAACGATGGACCTTCTCGAATTCCGATCGGAAGAGACCGTTCGATTAAGCTCGACTGTTCCCGCAAACCTGTCGACTTGTGCTTCGTACTCGACAGTTGTAGTTGTTACTATTATTCGTAATTGTTCGTTTATTTTCATTCACCCGACACCGAGGGTACACGAACAATCGATTGTGTTTGCCCGTGCAGATCACTTCTATTCATTCTCATTCGCCGCTTCGCCTCCCGGAAGTCTAGCGACAATGTATTGAAAATTCTTCGGAAAAATTGATTAACACTGGAACTACTAGACCGATGAAGGAAGCCATTTTGAATTTCCTTCGTAATGATCGAAAGGGTACAGACGTTTCTTTAACACGTTAAGCGTGAAAATCTTGACCTCTGTAGAATCATTCTCTTAGCAAAGAAAAACAATTATTAATTAGCATTGCAATCTTCGCATTAGACTATTATCAGCTTAGCTACATCATTGACACGTCGAATGCCGCGCGATTCGAGCAAAATACGCGAAATGGTGAAGATATAGTATTAAATCATTCGACTGAATTATCATTGCATATTCGTCAAGCTGAATGTTATATTAGATAGTATAGGAAATTTACAAATAACCATCGTTTGAGTGAACTGTAGTCGCTCAATGTGGTTGCGGGTCACCGGTGACCCCACGGCATTCAACGTGTTAAATATCTTCTAAGTTATCCTATATATTACAATTGTTTTCATTCCATTCAGAAGCGTCGGTCATCATTAACATTAACGTGTTAAGAAACTGTTCAGCTAAATTGATTCAACAAATTGTATCAAAGAAATACATATAATTAAATTGTTCAGTAGTTCGTTGGTCGAAGACTAATCGTTATGGCCAACGCTGGAACTAATTAACTACCGAGCAGTTGAATTGTCTTTCTGGCATTGTTGTAGAAACCTGAACAGTGCGATTATTGAGACTTCGGTTGGTTTGCAATTCAGTTTGTGCTGAATCAATTTCTCCAGTAGTTTTTCAGAGGCATCTGTTATCCGTTGAATGACTGGAAAAAATGAAATCGGGAGTGAGTGATTTCGACCCATCCGGTAGTTCCAGTGTTAAAAAGATTGCAATAAGTTTCCGGAAACTATGACGACCGGTAGGTAAAGCGTGTCGATGCTAACTGCACACGTTGACGCCCAGTTGACAGGTCGAAGCAGGTCAGCGATGCGTGTGTACCTGTATGCGCGGAAGATGCGACGATTCCGATTAGTTTGTAAGTCCTTTTATACAAACGAGCCGCTCACTGGCCAAATCTGTTAACTTCGATTCAAACATTCTTTTGACCTTTTAACCCCTTGCACTCGAAAGGCGACTCGATTCGACACGGCAAAACTATGAAGTAGAATATTTAGTATTCTAAACGAATCTTGTTACTGGAATATTTAAATGAAACAGCTTTGCTTAATTTATCTGTCGGTAACACGTTGAATGCCGTGGGGTCACCGATGACCCCGAACCGAATCGGACTACTATAGTACTACTATAGTTACTCGGTTACTATGATTATTTGAAAAGATTTCTATGTCATCAATAATGCTGCCTAACGCTGTGACGTTCAGCTGGATGAACATGCAATAATAATAATGCAATTCGATCGAATGATTCAATGTTATATAATGAAACGATTCAATACAGTAAAATCGTGCGGCATTCAACGTGTTAAATTTCAATCGTCTATCATCAGAAAATCTTGAAATCTTAGAAATGAAACGAAATCTTTATCTTCCATTCGAAGGGAAACACTTGAAAATTCACGCGCCATTTTTCAACTCTAATCTAGACCTAACCGAGACGTCGCAAGGCCAGATTCTCTAGGAACAAAGCGCTTTTATTTTTCATTTTATCGAGGTCAACCGATTTGGCCAATGAACGGTTCACACACACATATACACACACACATACACGCGTGAGTACACGCACGAAGGGAACGAAGAAGGAAACAAGAAACAAAGAAAATGCGTTTTGTATTGCGACACGGCGAGGTGCGTCCTATTTCTCGTTTAATCTCGTGATCTAACGGTGTCCAAGGACGAGTTGAGCGGCGCGACTCGAATCTCATATCTAGGCGCGAGTGTTCTCGAAAGACGAGGCACGAATAGAAAAAGAGGAAACGACGCGGCGGATAATGGAACGCGGAGGTACATTAGAATCTAATTAATATTTAACGCCCGCGTGGGCGGGACACTCGGTCTTGCCCGTGCTCTCGCGTTGTTGTCCGTTCTTGTTATTGTTGATCGTCGTCGAACGTTGTTGCGTGTACCCCGCGTTCGAAATTAGCATATCGTCCACCAATTTCCTCGCGCGCCTTCTTTCCGTCTACAGGGAGTTTCAAAAGTACGCCACGACTGCTACAACGGGATTCTACGGTTTCTGTTTAGACGGCGATGATGAAAATGGTTTATCGCAAAATTCATTGTAACGTTAACACGTTGAATGCCATGTCACCGGTGGCCATCGAATCGACTTTAGTTCGCTCAATTAACCCTTTGTCTGCCACGTAAACGAAACTATCGTGTACTTGAAACAGTTTTTTTCACTAACCAGAAACTGAGAAATTAAAATTCTTAATAATTGCTCCACTATCTTTCTCGTATTTCATGTATCCAACGAAATTCGGTTTGTTCGGTGCGTCATCGAAAGGATCGATGTACAAGTTTCTGTAAAAACTGTCACCCGAATTCGGGTGACGTGGCAGTCAAAGTGTTAAACGATGTAATGCAATTCAATCGAATGATTTATTCCATTTTTTCCATTCTGCTGTACAATGACGAGTGAGACGAAGATCTCTAGACTAATTGCCCTGCGATTTAGTTCTCTGTGATCGACAAAACTACTTCACCGTTAATGATTTACTGAGAAAAGAGAAACTTTAGGTATATTCCATGCCTATAATTGCTTTAAGCTGTAATCATTGATCACAGAAGAGTAATGTTTCGTTTGAATTCACAGACATTGAGTATTTATGTTTGTTGAGTTCTATTTCAAATCTTGCTAAAAGTATGTCACTGTTTCCATTCGACAGCGAAGAAGATAATGGTTGATCGCAATATTCATTCTAACATTAACCCCTTGTACAATGACGAGTGAGACTCGCGATGAAGATTTCTAGAATAATTTAACAATCAGTGTTGTATATTACCCACGGATCGAAACTGTTTTGCTATTATCGACGTGTTATCTTCAAATGACGATTTTGTTGCATTTCTTAGAAATTGTCGATGGTAAAATTACACGAGCTTGGTAAAAAGTACGTCAAAGTACGTTAAGTTAAGGAACAAAGTTATTGTTTCTATATTTCGCGTGTTTGTGGATTGTACCGAATTTAACCCTTTGCACTCGGAAGTTTCTCGCTGGAAATATTTGAACGTTTTCTGATAGCGAAAGCGAACGGTACGCCGAGGGGTTAAGGAAAGAGGTTAACCCTTGACCTACATCGTGTCAGGCTCGTGAGAATTTTCAATTTCGAGAAACCTGAGTATTATTTGTGTTTTTAAATACATAAATACTTTTCTGTTATCAACAAGCAACAAATTTTATTTTCCTAATAAATCGATGAAGTAGCGTCGATCGTAGCTAAGAAATAAATTGCAGGGGTTAACACGTTCGGTGCCACGAAGAATTTCCGTAAGAGAATATTTTTAACCAACAAATCTTCGACCAAATCGAATTACTATAATTCATTCGATTAAACGACGATTGAAAACTTTTCTATATTACAAGTAACACCACCTAACGCAGCCACATTAAACAATTCAAACCTGCGACAATAATGTAATTCAATTACACAAGTTGATGCTACGTCATTTTCATTTTCTATATTTCTCTCGGAAATCACGCGGCACTCGACGTGTTAACAGTTTCCACCGAAAGTATCGAAAGTCATCTGAAATTCGATTTTAAAATTATTTTTCAAGTTCAGTTGCACGCTGAATCGACTTTCCGACTTTTCCGACGACAGCTATGAAACGAACCACGGGAAACGTCGAGAATTCAACGACTGAGAGTCATCTCTCGAGTGCAAACGGTTAATGTCGTGTTCCTCCCATTTTCTGTATTTCGGTGTGCATCGCGCAACATTCAACGTGTTCGCCTAATTGTTAAACGCAAGAAATTCCTGCGTATTGTTACATGTAGCGTGACACTATTTTGAAACACCCTGTACAAAGCTGCGGCGCACGAAACGAAGCAGGGAAATCCCCGAGCGAACGGAAGGAAAAACTAGAGGAGAAGATGGCAAACCAAAGAATGCTGTTCTAACTAGTCAAGTTGTAGGACGATCAGGGAATGTATTTTTTTACACGATATGGATTTGTAATAAAGACAATTGATAAACGAAAACATTAAGCGTCGATGTTCAGATGAACGGGACGAGACAACGACGAGAGATTCGTCGCGTGTCACTTGTTCTTTGACTTTTGTTTCTCTTTTCATGCGAAACGCCTCGACGGAGGAAGCGTCGTCGAGCTTCGCCGTCGACGTTGCGGAAATTCTTTACTCGGTACCGTTCCTCGGTGGGACACGGATCTTTGTTTTTTTTTTC